GACAATGATGTCAGGATAATTCATAAAAAAAGGATTAGAAAAATTTGTTGATTGATCATTATTTTAATTGATTTGTACTCCTGTATTAAATTTCTATTCCTAGTGTGTAATGTTGGCCAAAACAAGGAAGAAAAAAACAGTCCATGCATCTCTGCACACAAATTATCATGCAGAAATAAAGCAGAGGTACCTTAGTTAGTATCATGATTTAATCTCTGCACTACGTAGCATGACTTCAAATTCCCTTTCAAATAATCAATGCAAGTTATCTCCTTGAGAGCAAGATTTTTTTCGCGCTATTTTCTATAAAAAGAAAGGGTACAGAGAGGCTTCACTTTCTGTGGAAGGTAATCATAATTTAGATGGCAGCAACAAGATTAGCTATACCAGTTAAAACGAGGAAAATTAAACAATGATACCTAGATCATACCCACTTTCCATGAGTGAACCACACCCTTTTATCAGCCAAACTCCATTGCATCTGAAAGACAGAATAATTAGAAGGTAAGTTGGTACATTACATGCAAACCATTAATTGATTACCACATATGGAGAAGGAATATCAAAGCCATGCACAAACCTTTTAGCATTTGATATCACAAATGCTTCCAAGGATGGCAATTTTATCCAAACCCAATGGATAACGACCCAACCCGATTTGAATGGATAGGAAATTTTTTCACCGGTCAAGTTTGGTGGCTAAAGGTTGGGTATAGATACTGCCTGCCTGAACCCGATCCGAAATACGTTAATAACCTAAAACCTTGAAAAAAATTACAATTTATACCAAGCTATATATATATATATATATATATATCTGAAGATGAAGAAGAAGAAGAAAATTAGGGTTCCTCTCCTACCCGTGATTTACCTTCCTCACTCTCTTTAAAGAACAGAAAGTGCATCTCTTCTCCATCCTTCTGTAGCGGTGTCTCTTGTCTGGTCGTCACCTTTGAAGTTAGTTTGTTGTCTGCTTGGTTGCTTTATGCATGTTTCTTTTTTTCTGTTGTGTTTTGTATATGTAGTTAGTTTGTTTGTATACACTTTTCTACATCTAGAACTTCAAATTTTTTCTTCCAACCTTTACCCCAAAGTCCCCATACCTTGATTGTACTTTTAGAATGGTTTGACTGCAAGAAGATTTGTTATTTGTTATCGATTCCTTTTTACCAAGCTATTGAATGTAATTGTGAACTAATGATTCCAAAAATCTTGTTTCCCAGGTTCTAGTGATTCGATACTTACCCCATAACTTATGACATATTGCACGCAACAGGTCTATTCTCAGCTGAGCAGAAAAGGTATGAGCTAGTGTTTTTGCTTGTCTTATTGTTTATTTCTTCATACTTTACTGGTGGAGTGTAGATATAAATTTCTGCAAGCTATTTTGTTAGTTCTAGGCACAAATGCAATATCTCAAGTATCATGCTTGAGATGGATCACCTGTTGGAAGTGTTTATGCATGTGTTATAGGTGAGCTTCAAGAGATAACAACTTTAATGAGATGGTTGCGCATTGTGCACACTTCGGGACACGAGTAATGAGGAGTAGTAAACTCTTGACCCACTTCACCTCTAATTCCAGATCCTTTTCCGCTGCATCATTTGCTGGCTTGACCAGCACCAGCACCAGCACCACTCCCTCTGCTAATAACCACATAGACCCCGCAAAAGATGATGACCAACAACAGCCATTACAATCACACAAGATAGTTGATACCTTATACAACCTTAAGAATCAGCCTCACCTTGCTTTCTCCATCTTTTCCCACCTCAAAAACCCCGACATCCCCGCCTATGCTGCCATCATTCGAATCCTTTGTCATTGGGGTCTCCACAAGATGCTCCACTCCATTTTCCTTCATCTTCACCAAAATAATAATGACTTTACTTCTTTTGATATTTCCCATTTGCTTGACACACTCTCTCTCCCTCATCATATTGACATTGATCTTGAAAAGGAGGACACTGTGAAGCATCGCTCTTCTTTCTTGATCCAAGTCTATGATGCCTTGGTCAAGTCCTATGTCACTGCAGGCATGCTCGATGAGGCTATCAATGCTTTGTTTCAGATCAAAAGGCGCGGATTCCTGCCCCATATTTTCACCTTTAACTATCTCATGAACAAATTGATTGCAAATGGTAAAGTGGATGCGGCTTTGGCCATTTACAAGCAGTTGAAGAGTTTGGGTTTGAACCCCAATGACTACACCTATTCCATCATCATAAAGGCCTTTTGCAGAAAGGGCAGTTTAGTGGAGGCCTCGAATGTCTTTCAGGAGATGGAACTTTGTGGGGTCATTCCTAATGCTCACGCTTACACAACTTATATTGAAGGACTCTGTGCAAATCAGAGGTCAGACTTTGGATATCAGGTGCTTCAAGCGTGGAAAGAAGGCAACATTCCTATTGATGTGTATGCTTATGTGGCTGTAATTCGTGGATTTTGTAATGAGATGAAAATGGACCGAGCAGAGGTTGTCTTGGGAGACATGGAAAAACAAGAGTTGATTTCTGATGCGCGTTGCTATAGTGAATTGATTCGTGGATATTGCAAGGCTGGGGATCTTTTGAAAGCCTTGGCACTCCACAATGACATGGAATCAAAAGGTATCAAAACAAATTGTGTCATTGTCAGCACAATTCTCCAATACTTTTGTGAGAAGGGAATGCATTCCCAAGTGGTTGAAGAATTTAAAAGATTTAAGGATTTAAGAATTTTTCTAGATGAGGTTTCATATAACATTGTGGTTGATGCTTTATGCAAACTAGAGAAAGTGGATCAAGCTGTAGCATTGCTGGATGAAATGAAGGGTAAGCAAATGGATATGGACATCATACACTACACAACTCTAATAAATGGGTATTGTCACGTAGGAAAGCTGGTTGATGCATTTAGGGTATTTGAGGAAATGGAAGGAAAGGGTTTGAAGCCAGATGTTGTCACTTACAACATACTTCTTTCTGCCTTTTCTAGGAGAGGCCTTGCAAACGAGGCACTTAAGCTCTATGAATATATGAATTCACAGGATCTAAAACCTAATGCTATTACACACAAAGTGATAATTGAAGGTTTATGTATTGGAGGCAAAGTGACTGAAGCTGAAGCATTTTTCTGTAACATGGAGGATAAGAGTATGGATAATTATGGTGCCATGATTACTGGGTACTGTGAGGCTAAACATACTGAAAAGGCCTCTGAACTTTTCTTTGAACTTTCAGAACAGGGTCTTCTAATGGATAGAGGTTATATCTATAAGCTACTTGAAAAACTCTGTGAGGAAGGTGAAAAGGATAGAGCTCTCTGGTTGCTTAAGACAATGTTGGATTTGAATATGGAACCTAGCAAAGACATGTATGGTAAAGTCATTACTGCTTGTTATCGAGCTGGAGATATGAGAAATGCAGAGGCAGTTTTTGACATTTTACGCAAGAGTGGATTAACTCCTGACATTTTTACCTACACGACAATGATAAATGTTTGTTGCAGACAGAATCGCTTGTCAGAAGCCCGCAATCTTTTCCAGGATATGAAGCACATAGGAATTAAGCCTGATCTAGTTACTTTTACTGTTTTGCTGGATGGACATTTAAAGAGGGTACATTCTGAAGCATTTGCAAGGAAAAGAAAGGAAGTAAATTTGGCTGCTTCAAATATTTGGAAAGAAATGCAGAATACAGAAATCAGACCAGATGTTATTTGTTACACAGCTTTGATTGATGGGCATTGTAAGGTAGACAGACTTGAGGATGCCATAGGCCTCTATGATGAAATGATGTATAGAGGAGTAGAACCTGATAGAGCAACATGCACAGCTCTTCTGTCTGGCTGTCGTAACAGGGGAGATGTTGATATGGTACTTACAAAACTGAACCTTATTAATCTTACATCTGTCAAGGAGATGTAACCAGATGACCACACTCAGTAATGGCTGGATGAAGCTGTGAAAAGTTTCAGTTTCTTAAGTAAGTGCATGAGTATACCAGTAACTGGATGAACCTAAAATCTTTGAACTGGCTAATAAACTATTAAAAAGTAAAGCATGTCATTATTTTAATTATTTTTTCCTTTTTCTTACCAGATTTGAAATTGTGTCCGCATTACCAGCCATGCAACCTCTAATGTAAACATATCATTGTGCTTTTGAATCTCTCTTTTTGGGTAGACCACATCCCTTGCCAGAAATTTGCTCTAGAAATACAGTCAACTACTGTTTGCAGAACTGAGCCAACATTCACTCGACCTAGATCCTACTTCCATGGTATGAGAGGTCTGTCAATTTCAAAATTATTAATTGACATCTCCATGAATATAACTTGTTCATGCTTCACACTGTACTCAATTATGTGCAGCTTAAGTTGAGCTTGGATAGTTTATCAAGTGTGATCTTGAAAATGAGGATGGAAATGAACATGGCTTTGAAAGAGATATGATGTGATCTGCAATGACTTCATATGGAAAAGGAAGATCACTTTGCTTGAAAGTATGTTTATTAATTAAAATTAGTTGGTTTAAAAAAATACTTGGTTCCCTGCATTACTTTACATATAAGAAGCATTGATTTTTTGCATTTTTTTTTTTTTTGGTAACTTTGCTTCTATATGGTGCTTCATTTCATAGGATTGGTTTTGATTCTATATTTTGTGTGATGTCTGAAGTTCTACTGCAACAGATTTAAATGTTCATTTTTTTTCTTCATGCATTATAAGCTGGGTTTTGTATCCAACCTGTGCTTGATTATGAGTATTTTAAGAGTGAATCATTAAGCTCCTCTATCCTTCAAACTTATCAAGGAAGTTCAACTGTACTGGTGGCAGCAGTTTTGCATTTTTTCCCTTTTTTCTTCTGGTTTCTAATTAAGATAGAAGCATTCTGGAAATGAAAAAACATTTTTCCTTGTTAATGGATTATCAATTGAAAAATCACGGCTATTGATGTGAATCCTGGGTCTTATTTGAGTTTTTATGTAATCTTTTGAGGTTTGGTTTGTTTTCTTATTATTATTTTTTTTTTTTTTGAACTGAGTTTGTTTGAATGGTTGTTAAATCATATGAATTTTGCTATGTATATTGCATGGATAGATGATCACCTTGTACAGTACCCTTTTTTCTTGTTTTTTTCTTCTTTCTTTTTCCCTTCTTTTTTTGCATTTTCTTGACCTCTGCTGGAGCTTTTTAGGTTTATTCCAACAAATAATGGGCATGTTAATAAAAAAAAATGTATTTTCTTAATCTATGCACACAACCACAGCAAATTATTTGAGAATGATTTGTTATTGGACAGGGCAGATGGAGGTCATAATGATTGATAGTCCTGATGCAGTAAATAGTCTGTATAATCTTGCTTTTAGACATTTGCAAATGAGGGGATTTCCACTCTGGTATATTTTGCATGCCATGATGTGCTTGTTATGGAGTTCATATGGAGGGCAAAGAAATAGTCATGTTCCTGATTTTTTATGCATGTTGTTTCTGGCATCTTGATGCTTTTAGATATCTAATAATTGATATGGATGCATATCATTAGGCTTTAGAAATTTGCTTAATTAGTCCCTTTCTATGTAGTAGACCCTGCAAGGTCAAGCTGAGAATGCAGGATGTGCAATTTCCGGGTGGTTTTTTATTATTGGCAAGAGAAGGTATGGATTACATAATAGTGCTGCACACTGAATGTTACAGATGTTCTACTTGCTATAAACATAAGTATTCTAATGTGAACTTCTGATTTTTGCAGTTGATTTGAACATTAAATTACAGACACTACACTATGGTAATGTTAATACGAGTGGGAGAGTTTGAGAGATGTTGCTTCGAGGAAACGAAGAACAAGAAGAGTTTGCAAATGGATTTACACCTTTATTGGGATTGTCAAGTTCTTTGTCAAGGTTCTTACCCTCTCCTGACCTGCATTGCTGCATTCATTTTTCTTCTGACCGGTTGGTGATAGGATATGGATTTGTTATGTGATTCCAATCATATGATTTTTTTCCATGATTGCTGTTTGCCACTATGAACTTCTTTCATTCACTGATGAATTTTGTTGATATTAGTCTCTGCTCAGCTGCTGAATATTTATTTCAAATTGTCCATGGAGCCCTTCCCCAATTGTGTTTTGATCCTAATTCATCTCTGCCACCTGCTGAAACCACTGTTCTTGTCCTGGACTATCTTTACATGAAACTGGATCAAGTGTCTTGTGCAAGTTGGTGAGGTTGGGACTATTTTCTATCAATCTTATTTTTGTCGTTTCTCAAGGGTTCTGCTTTACACCTTATCATTTCAAATGCATAATTTCTGTTAATTCCAGGTAGAAGAGTTCTCATGCTACTCAATGTCTGTGGGGAGTATGCTACCGTATATTAAATGTCTTGATTCTTGACATTTTGAAGGAACTCTTGATGATCCTTATGAAGAGGTGATTTTGGTTCAAACTTTTTGTCATACACGAAACTCTATATTCTATAATGGTTTTATCGAATTAGTTTCTTGTGCCAAAAAATCATGCTCATTTTATTTGCAATCCATGGAGCAAGAGCTTTTTTAAATGCAAATTTCTTTACTGGAGATCCTATGAAAGCTTGCCTCCTTAACTCTTTGCTGATCATCTTTTTTTTTTGGAAAATAATTGCTGGGATCAATGTTATTTACTTGTAATGAATAATTATACCTCTCTCAATTTAGCCTATAAAAGCAACTAGTTCTCTCAGAAGATGTTCTGTTATGCAAACAGAGCAATCCCAATTGATTAAGCCCGAGTTCTGTGAGAAGAGCTATGAGTTTAAGACAATTACTGTGCAGGAAGTTAGATGTTGAGCATCCTGCTCTACGTTCTTCTCTACCTTTATCGAATAACAAGCCAGGAATGAGTGAAAAAGATTCGAATCTTTTTCACTCATTCCTGAATCTTTTTTCCAACTCAACAAGAGCTCAACATAAAGGAACTTCTAGCATGTCCTCTGTTTATCAAGGAAATTTCTAAGTCAATTGTCTCTGTTGGAAAATCATGGCTGCTGGTCCGTCATAAGTCAATTGTCTCTGCTGGAAAATCATGGCTGCTGGTCCGTTATGTTCCTGTGTCATTCTCAATGATGTCTGAAATAAGGAGACATCCAGATATTATTGTTCCAGGAGGTTCTACTGATGATTGGGGGTTTAAGCATTTGCCGACAGACCTTTGCAGGGTTAACCTTGCCGGAGATTTTGTGTTTCGTGGTCACATTTCTAGATACTTTTGAGAAGATGAGCAAAGCAAATCAAAGAGCGTCACTCCTTTGGTGTCTTCCATATTCAGTAAGGGGTGAGGATGGTGAATCCTTGCACAAGTTCTTGATTAATACAAAATTACAGAGAAAGGTGATCGATTTAAAACGTGCACACAATTTTGGGATTGATTCTTCTGATCTGGTACAAGAGCACATGAATACAGGTGCTGTGGACGAACTTCCCCTACAGGGAACGTTCCGTCCAGAAGATCCAGCTCTAACCGTGTGTCAAAGTTTGCGTGATAAGAATAGAGATTCCTGGAAAACAGTGAACTTATCTAGACGTTTCTATCTACCCCCTCTGAATGATGAGGTCTTACGACAGGGGAGAAAATGGGCCCGTTTCTATTGTCGAACAGACAATTATGCCTTCAGTTTACGATTTGGTGCATCTGATTCACTGAATGGCACAAAATTGTTGCAAGTCTTGTTTCCTCCTCACACTGATCTTCTTTCTTTTCAGGTAATTCTTAATTGATTTCTCTCTTTAGAAAGAATAAAAGAAAAGGAGTTATCTTCTAACAACACAATGAAACTACACAACTGGTTTAATTTCAATAGTCACATTTATCAATAAATTAATTAGGAAAATTAATCTCACTATAATTTTAGTTTCAGAGTGCCCATCTTTTAATATTATAATTTATATTCATATATATAAAGATCCATCAAATCGTTTACAAGAGAAGATCCATCCATCAACGTAGCTGCTTATTTTTTTTTTGGATATTTTTATATTTTTTTAAAGGATAAGATGAGTTTTGTTCGGGATTTATAGCTGTTTATTCTAATAAATATATTTTTTTAAAATCAAACTTGTATTCTAGCTGTTTATTCTAATAAATATATTTTTTAAAAATCAAAATTGTATACTTATTTTTATTTTTATAGAAATATAATAATAACTTAACCAGGACACCTCACTCACTGCAAGATAAATTTTCTTCCTTCTACTCGTGTTACAAAGCGCACCAACTCAAACATTCTCCATGTTTATATAACAGTAACATCTGTTTTTGGATAATATATAGAATAATTACAATGCTTCTTTTGTTATAATTTTATTCTACGGTTCATTTTGAATATTGGCTAATTATATATAATTGTCCTTTTCCTCGTATTGGAATAATCTAAAGTTCTCATAAAACCATGCTTTCTTGATTAATGCAAGACATATAATATGGTCCAGATACCTTCATCGTCATTAATATATTAAAGTATAATTCTAAGATGAGCTGTGATTGACAAAGAGTGGCATCGCATTATATAGGGCAATTTCCAGGTGGTGAACCTGCCTGCCATGCATACTTTGTCTCCTTTGACTTTCCTTTTGCCTTATTCCTCCCTCCACGTATAAAAACAAGAGCAATATTTTCTAATTACATGTATAATATTCAAATCCATTTTCATTCATTAACCAAGGAACAGCTCACCAGTCTTGAGAACAATGAGGGAGAAAAAAGAACCCTAAACAATCATTAACCAAGGAACAGCTCACCAGTCTTAACAACAATGAGGGAAGCAGCTTGTAGCTCGGTGGTGTAAGGCGTTGCTCGCCTTCTTTCAATCTTCAGTTCGAGTTTTAGTGGCAGTGGGGCTGGCAAGTGGTTTCCTTCCTATGTCTACTGGCTCCTCTTTGTGTGGTACGCCTGTCACCCCCGCGGTGCCTTATTTATTTACTGGGTTTGCAGGATGTTCAATGAACCGTGAGATTAGTCGTGCTGCGCGTAAGCTGGCCCGAACATCCAAGTTAATAAAAAAAAAAATGAGGAAGAAAAAAAAACCCTAAACAGTTTATATACCAATTAAGGAAGCATCTGCTGTCACATTGTTATCATATCCTACATTTTATAATTTTCTTTGTTGTTTCCGCTTAATTTGTGCAAGGAAAAACTCTGGAATCGCTGCGACGTTGCCTAGTGCACATCGTCAGACTCTAGTGCTAGTCCTAACTGTAAAGAAAAGCGTTGACTTTATTTATGCAATCAATTAATGCTTGCAACCCAAGTTTTAATTCTTCTGATCACCATCAATCATACCACTTTCAATCACCAGTTAAGCCCATGTCTTTCTCCTTTCTTCAATTTCATTAGACATGATCATGAATTTGGCTGCTGTTACAACATACGTTGTTTTGTTTGCCCTTTACATTGCTCCCATGTCTGTTCATTCATTATATCAAAGCAAGGAGTTCTTTCCTGAAGAAAGAGAAGCGTTGATGCAGATAAGAGATTCGGTCAGTTCTACTTTGGATTTGCATGGAAATTGGACTGGACCCCCTTGTCACAAAAATTCCAGTCAATGGTCAGGCATTTCTTGTTCTAATTGGCATGTGGTTGGTCTTGTGCTTGAAGGAGTCCAGCTCACAGGTTCTCTCCCACCTGCCTTCTTACAAAACATTACTTTCTTGGCTAATCTTAGTTTCAGAAACAATTCAATATATGGGCCGCTTCCTAATCTCAGCAATCTTGTGCATTTGGAATCTGTCTTCTTTTCATACAATCGTTTGACTGGTTCAATTCCATCTGAATACATCGAACTGCCGAACTTGAAACAATTGGAGTTGCAACAGAATTATTTAAATGGGGAGATACCGCCTTTTAACCAACCAACACTGACCCTTTTTAATGTGTCCTACAATCATCTTCAAGGCTCCATTCCTGATACTGATGTCCTTCGGAGGTTCTCAGAGAGCTCCTATGATCATAACTCAAATCTCTGCGGCATTCCATTGGAACCATGCCCAGTTCCGCCTCCTGCTCCACTTGTGCCGCCTCCATCTCCTCCTGTAAGTCCACCACAGAACAAGAAAAGGAAGCTTCCAATTTGGATCATTGCCTTGATTGTGGTTGTAGTAGCTCTTGTTCCGTTGATGGTCATGTTTGTTTTCTTGTGTTGTTATAAGAAGGCACAAGAAGTGGAAACACCAAAAGAACGGCAGGCAGGTATAGCACAATGATTATCTTGAATTTGCCACATGATTGGCTACATGTTTCAATTCTTTTACATCATAGGCTTTTAATTTATTTATTTTTGTTTTTTATGTTTCAATTTCCATTTTCCAATAGGGGATGATAGTTCACCAGAGTGGACAGACAAGAAAATGCCGCATTCTCAAGGCACTGAGGATCCTGAAAGAAGAATAGAGTTACAATTTTTTGACAAGAATATACCTGTTTTTGACTTGGATGATTTACTAAGAGCATCTGCGGAAGTGTTAGGAAAGGGGAAGCTTGGGACGACGTACAGTGCAAACCTGGAATCAGGTGCTGTTGTTGCTGTTAAGAGAGTAAAGTACATGAACAGCTTGAGCAAGAAGGAATTTATTCAGCAGATGCTGCTGCTGGGAAGGATGAGGCACGAAAACCTTGTGCATATCATCTCCTTTTACTATTCCAAGCAGGAAAAGCTGATTGTCTATGAGTTTGTACCAGATGGAAGTTTATTTGAGCTGTTGCATGGTTAGTTCAACTTCTCTCGCTTTCCATCATCTTAGTGATTATTTGCGTCAATTTTCTGGTCCTCCAAATTAATATATGACAAAATTGCAAAGAACTACGTACGTTGTCATCACTAATTTGTTTTCTGACATGTTATATATACCTGTGGGTGCTAGAGAATAGAGAAGCTGGTAGAATCCCTTTGAATTGGGCTGCAAGACTGTCAATAATCAAAGACATAGCGAAGGGTATGGCTTTCCTTCACCAGTCATTACCTTCGCACAAGGTCCCTCATGCCAACCTCAAATCATCTAATGTGTTAATCCACAGAGATCGCCAAAGTTACCATTCTAAGCTCACAAACTATAGCTTCTTGCCTCTGCTGCCTTCTCGGAAATCATCCGGAAGACTAGCTATTGGCAGGTCACCAGAATTCTGTCAAGGGAAGAAGCTAACACACAAGGCTGATGTATACTGCTTTGGAATCATCCTTTTAGAGGTCATAACTGGGAAGATTCCAGAAGAGACTTCCCCAGCAGGAAACGAAGAAAAAGTGGATGATCTTTCTGAATGGGTTAGAATGGTAGTGAATAATGATTGGTCAACAGACATATTAGATGTAGAGATATTGGCTTCAAGTGCAGGGCATAATGAGATGTTGAAGCTGACAGAGATAGCTCTGCAGTGTACAGATATGGAACCAGAAAAACGACCTAAGATGAGTGAAGTATTGAGAAGGATAGAAGAGATTGATCGAACAAACCAAGAAAATGACTAGAAAGAGACTGTTTTGAAAGCTCTGCTAATTAAGTCCCATTCTGTTGCTAATTAAGTCTTCCATGGTGCGATCACTGCTAGGAAGGGATCGATGCTCATAATTACCATGTTGACTGTTGAGGCTTGGAGCTCAGTTCCACTAAAGTTAATCATGCAACAGGCCAGGGGTTGACGAGTGGCAGGACTGGTTGGAAGATATATTTAGTTCTATATGCCTCAACTTTAAGCACACAACAAGATCAAGTATAATCAGAATATGCCTCAACTTTAAGCACACAACAAGATCAAGTATAATCAGAATATGCCTCAACTTTAAGCACACAACAAGATCAAGTATAATCAGAATATGCCTCAACTTTAAGCACACAACAAGATCAAGTATAATCAGAATATGCCTCAACTTTAAGCACACAACAAGATCAAGTACAATCAGAATGATTTTTTTCAGACTGACATTTTTATATTGAATACTGGTTTTGATCTTCTAATGTATCAGTTCACATTCTGCAGAAAACAAATAGTGAATTCCAATCGTCTACCTTTGTTACATAATTCCAATAATAACAACAGTTAATGTAAAGCATGGCATAACATAACATAAAAGCTGGATTAAGTTGCTCGCTCATTGTGTACAAAGCAAAGAATAATCTCTACAAAAATGTTCTTTAGCCAGTTTAGTGTGGAATCGGGCCACCAAAGAACATGAACTTGTAGCAATGAGCAGCCGAGCCATTTGTCAAGAAATCCCAGTCCCAACCAAGATCATCAATCAACAAAATCTAGCAGATAGATAGCTAGGCTAACCATGGCAAGTGAACACAAGAAGTAATAATAATACCTCTTTAACTGCTTGGTCTGCCAACGGAGAATCATTTTAACTCTGTGATTATTGAATAATTGTAATAATTGCATGTGAGCTGGGTTAGATAGCATCAGTAGTCTTCTATATATCAAATGACAAACAAGTAATCAGCGATCGAAAGAAATAGGAAAAGCAGAGGTCAGCAGAGTTGACGTCTGAATCGGGGCCTGAAAGAGGATTGTTTCTGGACAGAAATTTGCAGAATTTTGACTTCTCTTTATTTTTTCCCTCGTATTCTAGAGTTTAACTTTAGTCTTTGTTTAAAGATATTGGAATATAATTTTCTTGAGTTTATGGAAGTTCATCTCGATAAGATAATATTGTTGGAATTCTTGGTGATTGATCGTATATATCAAGTGAGGAGGAATTGATCATTGATAACAATTTATAGTCTAAGACTTTCAACGATCAAGTATTTTACATTGTTTGAGTTGTAGTTTAATACTAGGGCTCGAGTTATACTAAGGTTCTATATTATTTTTCAAATAAAATATTTTAATATCACAAACTCGTTTCAGCAACGGTAAACAAAAAAGCAACGATAGAAAATAGAAAAACATAAATATAAAAAAACCGATTAGTGAGGATAAAAATAACAATATACTATTAACTTAAATTGAAGAGTAAAATTAAAAAGAATAAAATTTTAATAAAAGAGTTAAAGAAAAAAATAAAAAAAATAAAAATTAAATTGAAAATATTAATATATGATCAAATAAACTTGAATATGTGGAATTTTTCAAGCAGTCTATTACATAAAACAAATTGTAAATGTAAATTAAAACATTTATATATATATATATCCAATTAAATAAATCACTAATCATTATATAAATAAAAAAAAAATGATCAGTAATAAATAAAAACATAATTGAAAAAATTAAGATATCAATATAAATAAAAATATTTAATATCACAATACAGGTCATTTATATAGTTGTTTCTAATGAATTTGTTTATAAAAAATTAATTTGTAATAGAGATTGATACACATATAAAATTTATTAAATAAAATAAAAGTAAAAAAAATACTATGCAAAATTATAAATATTAAAAATATTATGAAAAAATATTTAATTTATATGAAAAAATATAGGTGAATCATACTAATCTTTGAAAAAACTATACATGCTAAAATAATTAAAAAGTAATCATTATTCAAAAAAAGTCTAAAAAATTTTTAAAACAAAATCATAGAGAATATATATTGATTAAAATTTAAAAATTAAAGAAATTATTTGAGAAAAAAACATAAAAAATCCATTATTATAAAAAAAATTTAAAAAAAAATCAAGTCAGGCTCAATACCTGACCTAATGAAAAAAAGCTCATACACGAGTTTTTAATTGTTTTTTGTTTAATGGGCAAGACATGCATTGTCCACCCCAATTTCTTTAAAAAAGATAAATTGCATGTTGTTTAAAAATTCTAGAATCTCATCATTAGTATAGCTAGAAAAATAAGATTATTTTTTTTAACAAAAAATATTTATTTTAACCCATTGTTTTACCTGAAACATCTAGAAAACATTCTAGAAACCTTGTTAAACTAATTCATAACCTCTAAAAACACAAAAAAAAGGTCCAAAACCCAAAATCAACCCCAAACCAAAAATCTTCCTCAGCTTACATCTATTTTTTAAAATTTTCAAAGTAAAAGAATATTTATTCATAACTTTTCTTTATCATATAAAACTATTTAACATAAAAATCAACTATTTTGATAACCTTAATCTTCTTTAATTGTTTTTCGGATCTAAATCTTCATTAATGCCAACTTTCTAAGGTGGAATCCAGCAGAGATAAATGAATTTCATACCAAGATGTGTTTTTTTTTAAATTATAGGAACTGATTAATAAATAGCTTAAGAAGATAAGAGATGCAAATGAACCTTTTAAACTAATTACAGACTTGCTATTTATTTTATTTGACCGTTTCACTTTAGTACTCTATCTTTCAATTCAACCCTCATCTCCAAAAAATGTGCAATTGGGCTCTAATTTGAGCTCAAAGGGGCTCAATTGTATATAAAAAAAATTCAAGGACCAAAGTGAGAATTAAAGAAAAAAGGCACTATTATTATCTATAATAATATGTGAAATGATGAACAGTTGAGAGTTATATACTTAATACGTATGACTGACGTTTGATTGCAAAGAAGTGATTGAAACCGCATTTGCTGAGAGTATATGCATGGGTGTAGAAGCTTCAGATTTCTCAAACCCATTTTCGCCAACTGGCTGCTCCTTTGTCACCAGACAAGAGCCTCGGAAGGCTTAGCAAACTATTAACCCTTGTAGTACCTTCTAGGGCTGACCACTCTTCATCCTCTGAAGTTGAAATGCATTCTGCAAGGCTCCTCTTGGACTGGCCCTGGCACATTACTGAAGGATTTTCCACCGTCAACTCAGGGACAGGTACAATCTCGTCAGAGTTCCGTGTGTTGCCCGAATGCATAAAAACAGGATCACGAGAATCTTCTTTTGTTTCTAATTGACCAGTGTTCTCATCAGTCGCAAAATGCTCCCCTGGCTCCATAGGAATCTTTCTCAAATCCTGCTCTTCCACCTCCCCATTTACTGCACATGGATGTTCAAGGAAGAGGCATACAACTGCACAATCATCAGTCTTGGATGTTGGATATTTAAGTCTCCATGCTCGGACAGCACAGTCTACAAGAGCCCTGGCTGCTGTTGCACGGCCAGGGGCTGAAGCCACGATATCAACAGCTTCCTTATTTGAGAGGACATCCCAAACCTGTGTTAATAGGATATCAATACTGATATCAGTATTGGAAAAGTAGGGATGGAGTTCATCCATATGATGGTGGGTGGTCAGTCTCTGTCTATTGCACTTAAAAATAGTGCAGATCCATCCGCTTTCTAATTATCCGATAACATTAAAGCTTCATATTAGCAGGACAGCAAAGTGGTAAAGCAAAAACTATCAAGATCATGACAAAAACATGGAAACATAGCAGGCTTCTCAGACATTAACTTCCCATATGTCCTAGAATAAGAAAAAGATTCTCTCAAATAGTTTAAAATGAAAGAAAGGAATAATACCCCATCTGTGGCAAGAATAATGAATTCATCTCTATCGTTAAGGCGGCGATAATAAACATCTGGAACAGAAATTAAACCGAAATCTTTTAAGCAGAAGTCCCCAAAAGCTCTAGCCATTGCCAGACCAGGTGAGTCATTATTAGGCAACCATACACGTGGAACCTCTGGCTCGTCCTGCAAAGCAAAGACCCTTCCTTTACATTGCTGGATCCTGGCAGCTTCCCCTAAGCAGAATAGACAAGATTGCTCAGTTCCATCAATTTCTAAGCAGTTTTCTAATATATGATATTGCAGAAAGACTTGATTTCTATTTTCTATTTGCTTACAACTGAACCTAAGGCAAAACATGATAGTGTGCATAAGTGTGTGTTTAGAGAGAGAGAGAGAAAGATACTTGGTAAATCAGGCTTCAAGTCAACAGTCAATTGAACAGCAAGCAAAGAGTCATCTTTGTCTCTGGTTGCCAGAACTGCCCTGGAGTCACCAACATTTCCAATAACAAGATCTTGGCCCTGAAAAGACATATTTTCATATGGTAGACTTATTAGATCCGGGTTTAAGTTATTAAGTGGAAAAAGGGTCATTTTGAGAAATTTAAACAGAGACAAGTTATGTTTCTCAATAGGTGGCAAGTAAGCAAAGAAACTATACATCAACGGTAATTAATGTTTTCGTTGTTAAAATAAGATGATTTCACTATACAATAAATCAAACACAAATACTCAGAAGTGAACATGAAATCCTCAAGAAAAATAAATCAAATTAAAAGATTAGTCCATTCAAACTGAAAGAACAGTGAATCTTGGATCTTTTCATCAAATTCCAGATGTAGCTTAAGAATTGACAATTTTCTAGGTCAATTACAAATGTTCGAGCTCAGGCTGCACAAATCTGGAACAATCCAAGTCCATTGACATCCCTACTCAAAGAACAAGCAAATTCATTTGAAAGAAGCAGAGGCTAAACCAATGCGGTAATGCCCAAACACATCTCTGCCTAAGTCAATATACAAAAAAGGTATTGAGATGATCAAGATAACATGTCAAGGATAACAAACATTATTTACAACATTTAATTCCTTCGTGGAATGTAGATCAACAAACAGCTTAAAATCGACCTCAAACTTTGCTATAGAAAAAAAGGAGCTAATGTGATAGGTATACTAATTTAGACCATGAAGTAACTCCAAGCTGCTAAAACTTGAGAGAGGGATGCCGCTATGAACTGAGCACACAGACTTAAAATGATATTCACTTGCGCTTACTCAAAATAAACAGAGATGCGGAACAAACTGAATTTGGTCTCAATATTAATAAAAAAAAAGGCTTGAGAATGTAGGAAGAACAAGCACCTGCTTGATCAGAGTAACAGCAGTCGTCCCACTGCAAAAACAATCGATTTTTGGATGCAACTTCAACTCCTTATCCATTAATTTAAAAGTCTTCAATATAGACTTTTTGAGTGGAAGAAACATATCTGGGGGTGTTTCAGTTTCCTCAACGTCTAAGGAATCAAAGGATTCATCATCCATACTTAAGGAAGAAGCGTCCTCAGGATTTGTAGTTGGTGCAGGAGCTTTCGCAGTGTCGGAAAGGCAGCATTGTTGAGCAGGATTCCAGTGAGTAGATATTATGAGCGGAAGGGAATCCCGAACTTTCTTGGCTACCAAATGACCATAAGGACCATGGCCATCAAATACCCCACAAAAAACGGCATCGCTTGATGTGGTTGAGCTGAAATTCTACAGCAGAGAGAAACATTCCAATTTCCAACCCAGTCAGAGTCATTCAACATTATATCAAACCTACAGCCAGGCGAGCAATCAAAAATAAAATCAGTGTCAATTTTTTATGAAACAATGCCGTATCTTCTTCTTCTTATTATTATTATTATTATTAATCACTTATCCTTGAATAAGAATTATACATTGCAATATGAAGAAAAGAAATAAGTTATTAGTAGTGATAACTAATGTGGATGGAGGAGGAAGAAAAGGGGGAGGCGGTAAGGTAATATGATCGAGCATGGAGTACCTCCCAGAGGAGCATGGCGTCTTGATTGGTGCCTTTCTTGCCCTGCTGGGTATATAAGCAGCCGATTTTGGTGGCAGTATTGGTGGAGAACCTGCCAGGAATATGAAGGAGCACACTTGGGTCAGCATTAGCATTAGTAGCTGATGACACGAATGATTTCTTCTTCCAAGTTGTTGTTGTTGATGACGGTGACTTCTTCTTCTTCCCCATGATGGAGTAGCAAGATCCCATTACGACTGCTGATACTCTAATTACTAGTTACTTCAAACTGCCACTCACTCAATCACTGTATGTTATAGGTATCAATACTAATATTAATAATTGATATGAAATGAGAATTAAAAAAGAAAGAGGGAAGAAGCAATTGTTACTGATAAATACACCCAAATTTCTCTCCCTGTATATAGGAAAACTACAACGAAGTGATAGAGACAATGATACGTGGAAGACGATTGATTTGATTTGAGGTGATCCGACCCGATCCGATGAAAGTCAAAATGAAAATGGGCGACTTGAGGAGCAGAGCCAGCGGTCGTGAGAAACCAAGAAAGGAAGAAACAAGCAGCGGCGTCGAAGTCATCTATACCTACATACATAATGTATGTATGTTTACTTGGTTTAGTCTACACTAGATACCTATTGAACACTTTACGGATTGATAATTTTTTTCAATTAAAAAATTGATAAGTAGACTTTTTTTATGTTTTTTAATATAAAAAATATTACGTGTAAATCAAAAATTTATGTATATATCTAATTAAATAAATAAAAAACTATCTATATAAATTAATGAAAAACTCATTAATAATAACTAAAAATACAAATAGAAAAATCAAGAAAAAAGTATTGTAAGATATTTAATCTTGTAATATAATGTATTTACTTAATTATGTTTGTTGATTATGTTTTTATTAAAATTGATTTTTTATTCAACGAAATAAACACCTAGATGAGATTGTTTGAATAAAATAACAAGAAAAAAATATTATGTAAAGTTGTACATATTAAAATATTAATTAAAAAAATATTAATTAAAAATAATAATAATAATAATAATAATAGCTTGAGCGTTGTGTTTAACCCCGTCAAATCTATGATTCAAATTATGAAATCAATTAGGTTCAACAATTTTTCTCTTTTGAATTTGTATTTAATATAAATATAAAATTTAAAAAAAAAAGTCAAAAATAGCTGAGGGCATGCAAACCTATGGCCCAACATGCCTGCATCATTATAAAAAAGAGTTCAAATGTGTGGGTGAGCTTTCAAGTCCAAGTTCACACACCTTGATTAATTTTATTTTTTCATTGTTATTTTTAAAAGAGATAAACAACTTATTATTTGCCCCTAATTATTTTGAGTAAAAAAAATTGATGATGTGTTGTCTATGAATCCAAAATTTAACCACCTAAATAATTTATAAAACAAAATGGACCAACTAAATATTTTTTTATTTAAAAGAAAAAAGATTACAAAATATACTAAAATTTCAAGATAAAACACGGTAGAAATTCATGGTAATTCAAAATATTTTTTATTTTTATCCTTAAACTTTTTGTTTCTTTTAATTATAGCCTTCTATGTCCAAATTAATGACCAATCTATTAAAACTTGTTAAGAAAAGAAAAGTTTAACAAAAGAGGATAAAGGTTTTAAATAAGGAGAGATCTCATGGATAATTTCAAATTCATTAGAAAAAAAAATTATTTGGTCCACAACTATTTTTTTTTTCTTATTCTACAATTACTTTAATTTTTGTAATTTTAGTTCTGGTTTAAAGGTTTATTTTTTTAATATTTTAATCCTTAAAAATTAGAGGAGAGAGGGAGAGAGAAAGTTGATAAATGATTATAAAACAAAACTCCTTATTTTTAGTTTCTACAAGTTTTATTTAATAATAAAAGTTTGATAATATAAGATTTCTCTTATAAATATAGATCAGGTTTTGTTTAGATTTATCTATGCTATTAATTATTTGTTTTTTAAAGTGATTTTAGAATTGATAAGTGGTTTATAAAAAGTTTTATAATGTTTTTTTAATTGTTTTTAAGAAAACATAACTTAAATTTAGGTTTTTTAATCCAAAAACTTGAATTTTAATTCAATATCACTAAGGTAAAAATATCTAATAATAGACATCAAGCTTTCATCTTAAAAAAAAAATAGTAGTGGAAAATAAAATAACCTAAACATGTTCGAGCTTTTTATTAAGGATAGACATGTGGACTTGGTCTATCAACACTTTATATCTCTTTTTTCATTATTTCTTAAATATTTTATCCCTTTGCATTAATTATTTTTATTAACTTAGCTTTGTTTTTTAAAAAATATTTATATTTTTATATTTTTTAGTTGTATGATATTTCAAAAATACTATTTTGATTTGTCTTGAATTTTTACCTTTTATATTTTCTACTAATTAACTACATTTGTATAATGTTTTTATAAAAATGAAAATCATTTGTTAAAAACATTTACATGTGTCTTTGGCTTTAATATTTAATTAATTTTAACAACTCCTTTTGATTTATCATGCATATATTTCTCAATTTATTTTATAAAGCATAAATACCATCCTTTTATTTCCTAGTTAAAAAAAGTTTTTTAATAATTTAACTTTTATAAAAAAATTTATTTTGCTTTATATAAAGTTGTCACGATCTTAAACAAATATCCTGATATTAGATTGATGTTTAATTTTTTGGTGATCTATTTTCTTATTTAGTAATTAAATAAAAAATAATTTATAAAAAAAGTTATTAAACCTAATGGAGTCCATGATACGGGTTGTGAGTTTAACGAGTTGATCCAATATATTATCATTTAATGTTTTTTTTTAATGTCATGTTGATTTGTTTTTTTTTTTAAAATCAAATCATGTTTTCAGCAGTATTCCAAGTTATTTTTGAGGCCTTCAAGTTTATTGAGTCATGTTAAAGTAACTCTTTTATGATTTGATTTGAATTCCAAACTAGACAATAAGTCAAATAAAGAAATTTTAAAGATAATTTGTAGAGTCCAATTTAATAATATTATCAAAAAGTTTGTTGTGAACTAAACTTTTTTTTTTTTTGGTTTGATTCATAATGGAACACACATTATCTAGTAGCAACTATATTATAATTTATTTAAAAAATATCAAATGAGTCTGAAAGATATTTCAGCTCAGTTTATTAGTAGTATGATGAGATATAATTGAAATTAATTTTTTTTTCTAATAAAAAATTAGAAAGTGTTTATTTAATCATTATGCCATAATTTTACATGACTTAAAACTCACTTAAAATATTCTTATAAAAAATCTAAATTTTCTAGCTAAAATCTTAAAAGTTATAACAATGTTAATTAGCTAAAATCTTAAAAGTTATAACAATGTTAATTTAAAGTCTGTTTGAAATTCAGATTGAACATGTTTTTTTGTAATATTTTTACTTTAATTTTTTAATATTTTTGAATTGTTTTAATTTGTTGATATTAAAAATAAATTTTAAAAAATAAAAAATATATTATTTTAATGTATTTTAAAAAGTAATATTTATTACACTCTTAAACACCTTATTAGTATACGTGTGATATTGTAGTATATGATGTTTTTCAAAAATCATTTTTTGCTTCCAAATATATTAAAATAATTTTTTTTAAAAGTCAAATTATGTTTTTAGCATTATTCTCCGCTGAGCCAATAAGCCAACATTGCTGAATTCGACACTGCTATTGAATTCGACACTATTGTCGATTCTGCCAACACTATCCCCAAAACTGCTACTGATCCAATATCTAAATCAATAGTTTTTTTGGTCATGTTTTGAATTATCCAGTCTATCCAGACTCTTCGTCAGCACCTCCTGTAAATGAACCAATTCTATTAAACCGATGAAATAAAGTTATTTTTGAAACTTTCAAGTTGATTAAATCATAATAGGGTAATTTTTTTATGATTTGATTTGAATTTCGAGTTAAGTAAAAGTCAAATAAGAAGATTTTAAAATTATTTTAATGGGTAGGTTTAATAATATTATTAAAAAATTTATTATAAACTAAATATTTTTTTTATATTCAAAATATTTTAGTTTGATTTATAATATAGCACATGTCATATAGTAGCAACTATATTATAATTTACTTTTAAAAAATATTTTATGTTGTTAAGAGAAAAATACAATTTTAAAAAACAAGATAAAAATATAAACAAATTAATTTTCGGATTAGTGAGTAAAGTATGAGTTTAAAGGAGGTTTTGGCTTGGTTTGTATGTAGTGTGATAAGATATGATTGATTGAAGTTAATTTTATTTTAATTATAAATTAGAAAGTGTTTATTTAATCATTATATCTAAATTTTACTTGACTTGTGCTCAAAACTTTCATTTAAAATATTTTTATGAAAATTTTATTTTTTCTAATCAAAATTTTAAAAATCTTAAAAGTTATAACAATATCAAATACATATTTAAAATTTGTTTAAATTTGAGATTCAATATTTTTTTTGTTAAAATTTATTTTTTAATTTAAATTATTTATTTTTAATTATTTTGATATGTTGATATTAAAAATAAATTTTAAAAAATAATTATTATTATATTTTAAAAAACCTTATTAGTATGCGTGGGAAATTATAGCATATGATATTTTTCATACGTAATTTTTTGTTTATAAATATATTAATATAATTTTTTAATTTTTAATATACGGACACAAATACTATAAAAAAATCGTCATTTAATGTTTTTTTTCCCCTTCACATAAACACATTTTTAAAATGCCATGCAGACACATTTTCAAAGATAAAAAAGAAACAACCTCTTGCGCAAGGGACGTCCCCGTCTCTTTCCCGTCCTTTTTTCTTTTTAATTGTCCTCTCTCCATCTCTCTCTCTCTCTCTCTCCGCGCTCATCATTAGGGTTTATTTATATAATAAGATATATTTCGCTCCCCTGCATTCAACTAACGACGACAGGTACGTTTTTTCTTAGCTTTAAATTTCGTTGGGTTTATCTGCTCTGCTTTCGTAATTTTCCATTCCAAAAGCAATTTTTGTTTTTTTTACTTTGTTTGGATACTGGAACTGTTACAGATTAGTTTCTTTTTGCTTTTTTGCTATGAATTTTGATGTATTTGATGCATGCTGAGATAATGTAAGACAGTTAAGGGATTGATAAGTATTTTCAAAGTATTTTTTTTCCTTCTGTGATAATCAAATATAAAGACCATGATTGTCTGTGATGGATGAACTATTTATTAAATTGCTTCTATCTAATTGTTTCAGGTATTTCAATAATAATAATAATAATAGTAATAAATGGTGGAGAGTGGCAAACGATCGCGTCCCCAAAGAGATTATGATGGGGATACCAATAATCAGAAGAGGCACAAAGATAATAAAGGTACTAATAATGATGAACTGGTTGTGTATAGAATACTATGCCCTGATGAGGTTATTGGAAGTGTCATTGGTAAAAGTGGAAAAGTCATCAATTCCATAAGGAATGAGTCGAGGGCGAGAGTTAAGGTGGTGGACCCGTTTCCAGGTGCCATGTATAGGGTTATAACAATTTATTGCAATGTCAAGGAGAAGGGAGATGCTGATGTTGACGATGATTTCCATCAGGCTGACCCTTTGTGTCCTGCACAAGATGCTCTTCTTAAAGTTCATGCTGCAATTTCAAATGCTGTTGCAGCTCTTGGGGACTCTGACAAGAGATGCGGAGATAAGAAGGAATGCCAAATTCTTGTCCCAACTAGCCAGTCTGCAAATATTATTGGTAAGGCTGGGGCAACTATAAAGAAATTAAGAAGCAAGACCAGAGCCAACATTAAAATCACTGCCAAAGATGCCTCTGATCCAACTCACTCATGTGCTATGGACTTTGACAACTTTCTTCTGGTTAGTAAATGGGACTTTAAGTTCCTTCTGATTTATTGTTGAGGTTATTCATGCGGAATTTATCTGTTAAAAATTAATCAAATTCTAATTATTAGGTTCTAATTTGTCTTCTATATTGCTTTTTTCTCAAAATGCGTGTGTATCTTTTAATAGTTGAAATTGTTTTTCCTTGAGGAAAAGCCCAACAAAAATACAAACTGTTATTTGAAAGGCTGTTTACTGTAAGGTTCATTGAGGGCTTACAAAATCTAGTTGCTCTTTCACTTTCATCATGAAATTCTCATTCTGTTCTGTTTGTGTGAATTGCCATTGATCATGATGGAATCCAAACAACTTTTGTAGATGATCTCTAGGCTGTGTTCATGCTGCACTAAAGCTTAAGATGGCAGATAGAGGTTTCAAACCTAGATTCTTCAGCTTGAGACTGATGTCAGTGTCACTAAGGCTAAGGGTGCAGTTACTTTAGTGAAGTTGAATTTTGGATCCAAATTGCAAGCCAAGTGCCTTTTGATGCTTTTTGTGGGACAACTTCATAAAAAATGTGTATTCTTGTGAGTTTATTATATATGAGTTCTTTTCATATGTTAGATATATCATTAACATAGCTGGAGAATCATAGTGTTTTTTGAACTGTGCAGCTTCTTTATCTTGAAAATTAAGGATTTTGTCTCCATCTATGAATTAATTCACACGTGATTTTTTATTTCTTTTCCTTAAGAATGTGTACTGCTTTTCCATGCTTCTCTTTAGCAATTTGTAAAGGTTGATGCTTGAGGGGTTCAAGAGTTAAATTTCTCTTATGAACAGATAACTGGTGAATCAGAAGCAGTGAAGAAAGCATTGTTTGCAGTTTCTGCAATCATGTATAAGTTCAGTCCAAAAGAAGAAATTCCCCTTGAGACAACTGTACCAGAAGCTCCTCCAAGCATCATTATATCATCAGATGTCCCTATTTATCAACCAGGTGGATTCTATCCAAATGCAGATCCAATTGTTTCTTCTAGATCTGTTCCACCAATCTTAGGTGCTACACATATACCAGAGTTTCAAGGTTATGGGGATATGAGGAGTTCTTGGCCCATTTATTCATCCACAGTCCCTGTAGTTCCCAGTTTTGGCAACACCTCTAGATCTGAGTTAATTATACGACTATTATGCCCATTTGACAAGATTGGGCGTGTCATTGGCAAGGGAGGGAGCACCATTAAAAGCATAAGGCAGGTTAGTGGTGCCCGTATTGAGGTTGATGACACTAAAGCTGATCGAGATGAGTGTATTATTACAGTCATTGCAACTGAGGTATGGTTTACGTTTGTTTATGATTTGGATGTGTGGATATCGATTTTTGTCTGTTGTCCTAAGCTAAACAAATAAAACAATTTACGATTTCCATCACAATTTTGGATTCGTTTTTATTCTGTGAAAAGTGGCTTAAGTTTGCTAAACTTGTTCAATTTTACCAATGTGGCAAATTCTGTGTGGGCTTTGGATATGGCTTATCAATATGCTTATATATCTCATGATATATGCTGGGTTTAATTTATCCATGTTTACTGTTTGGCAGTCTCCCGATGATTTGAAATCCATGGCAGTTGAAGCTATTTTATTGCTTCAAGGAAAGATTAATGATGAAGACAATGACATTGTTGGCATTCGACTCCTTGTTCCATCTAAAGTTATTGGGTGTATCATAGGAAAAAGCGGTGCAATTGTAAATGAAATTCGAAAGAGAACTAATGCTGATGTCTGCATCTCAAAAGCGGACAAACTTAAGTGTGCTGACAGTAATGTTGAACTCGTTGAGGTCTGATTTCTGAGCTTAACCTAGTTTCCTTATCCCTTTCAATTGTAAATACTTTTTGGGGTTGACCTTGTTCCTTGATAGGTGGCTGGAGAAGTTGGTAGTGTGAGAGATGCACTTGTCCAGATTGTTCTAAGGCTCAGAGATGATGTATTGAAAGAAAAGGATGGTGGTTTGAATTCTTCTGTTGGTACTGATTCTGTCTACCCTGTTCGTGCTGGTATTTCTATACCATCTATCCTGCCTTCTGTTCCTCCAGTTGCTCCAATGGGTTATGATCAGAGGGCTGAAAGTGGCAGTGGTTTGGGCCTGCTTTCATCAAGCAGCCTTTATGGATATGGATCCTTACCGGTATGTAGCTGGTGATGAAATTTCTATTTAACTTCTTTGGTCATGATAGTTGTTATTTAGTGTTCTTTTCAAAATTAGAATGAAGTTTTTTGGTACATTGATTTTGGAGTTTTGGACCATGCAATTGATGGAGGGCCATTACTGTGATTTAGGAGAATGATAGATTGATCATTTCAAATGCTCCACTTTTATTTTTTTGATCTACATTAAATGTTCCATCTCTTTGGTAAAATCAATTTAAGATAAAATAATTATTTGTACAAGATAACTGGAGAATACGTCATTGATGATGTCAAGAAAATGGACTATTGCAGTTTTGCTTTTGATTCATTAGTTTTAGTTTCTTAGAGCTCTGTTATTATTTTGGATATATTGATTTTTCCTTGAATTTATTATTGTTATGGCATTTTAGTATTTTAATTTAGTAGGAAGTTTGATTCCTTCTTTAACTTATTATTCTGTAAGGTTTTGGTGTGACTATGCAAGCACAAATATTTTTTATTTTGGAGAAGCCATTTATGGTAATAAATCGTGAATTTCAGTTTCAACTTTTAGAGGTGGATTTCCTCTAGTGTTGTGAGGTTGATGCCTCATGGTTTGATACTTGCTTATTTTGCTTCGATGCCAATTGGTTTAGGACAATAGGAAGATAGAATATAAACAAGAGGAATCCAAATCTAAAAGTTGAAACTGAATTTCTATTTTTTTTAATCATAAAATACCCAAAATATATAATAATTGTGCTCATATAGCAACAACAAAATCCTAAAGTGTCCTAAACTAATGAAGAAAAAAATCTTTGTTAAAATAAAATACAAAAGGAGTCCTAATAATAGTAAATTCCTAAATCCCAAGAAAAAAAGAAAATCCTGGAACGAATAAAATTATAAGTAAAACTTCAATAGTTCATTTTCTTGACAATCATCCTCCAGCAGAAAAATAACAGCGAAGAGATTCTTAATGTAAAAGATTGCTTCAGTCTTGCTGATATCTGCTGCAAAACACCCTC